CGAAAGCAAAAAGTGGTCAGAAATAGCAGCAAAGGTTTTTCCGGATACTAAAAGTGGTCGGAACAAGGCTTTCGATATGATTTAAGATCACTTTCAGGTAGTCGGAAATTCCATAATTTCCAGCAGTGGATAATTAACAAGCATTGCGGGAGCATATAATTAAAATTGAGAATTAAAAGAAGTTAAATATAAATAAGGGAAAAAGACAAGATAACTTTAGGACAAAATTTTGTAATAAAATAGCAATGTTATGCGATAGACTATTGTTGTCGTTAAATACGTAGCTAATATTAGTGGTAAATTTTCACGCAAAACCTAACGACGAAGTTGCGACGGATTTTTGGCGGGTTAATTACATAATTATAATAGCGACGGATATATATATTCGTCGCTAAATTTTCAAGAGACATTTATTTATGCGTATAATCTAGCGATTGATGTGATGATCCGTCGTTATATAGCGACCAGGGTTGCAAAACTTGGCCGCCTAGGCGCTAGGCGGCACCAAGCCGTGCCGTTTTGGCCTAAAGGCGGCCAAAACTCGGACGGCCGCCTAGGCGGCGGCCTAGGTGGCCAACTCAGCCGAGTCGACCGATTTCATCCGATGTCGTCTTTCATTAATTATTGATTTTAATATTATTATGACGTTATGACTTATAAATTATCATTATTTCATTTATTTGGATGTGTTATTTGATTGAATGTTGAAAACAACCTCATTAAAATTGTCAAACTACAAGTCTGTTACTATTTTTTTTAATTTTTTGGTGCCCGCCTAGCGCCGCCTAGATTCCGCCTAGGCACTGCCCGACCGCCCGACTAGCGCCTAGCACCTACTGCAACCATGATAGCGCTAGATTTGTACGCGAATTTAATTATGTTTAATTCTTAGCGACGAATAGTAACATCCGTCGCTAGATTTGTACTCGGATTTAATTATGTTTAATTCTTCTAATGTCTAGCGACGAACGTTGGAGTCCGTCGTTATCTAGCGTCGGAACTTTAATTCCGTTGTTATAGTTGGCAAGTCATATTACACTCAATGTCTCAGCTTGAGAGCGATCGAGTTAGACTAGCTTAGCTTAGAGTTCTAGTTGTAATCTAAACTCTTTTCAATTATGTTTGTTGAGACTTGGTTGTAGATCTGTTTAGATGTTTTGATGGTGTTGGACGCCGAGGTTTTGTTCCCCAAGTTTGTTTAAAGTTAGTTAAGCTTGACTTTGTTTAGATCTTTTCCTTGCCTGTGCAATCACCGTGTGTGGTAATTGTGGCGGTGACACCTCTTGAAGTTTGACTTGTAAGCTTATAATGCTATCTACTTGCTTGATTAGTTTTTTTTTTTTTTTTTTTTTTTTTTTTTTTTTTTTTTTTTTTTTAAGTTAAGTATCGTTAATAAGGTTTGAGAAAAGTGGGGTGTTACAGCTCAACCTTAGGGGCCACGGGTCTTGCTCTACCTCCACGGGTCGGTTTGCTCCGGTCGTAATATATCCATCAGTAACAAAAACAAGTAATACATGTATAGAGGTATGACGTACAACTGGAGAAAAAATCTCATTAAAGTCAATACCTTTACGTTGAATGAAATCTCGAACAACCAACTGTGCCTTCCACCATGCTTTCTCAACCCTAGGAATGCCTTCTTTTGTCTTGTAAATCCACTTACAGCTCAATGGATGTCTACCCTTTGTTAACTCTACGAGCTCCCAAGTCTCATTTTTATGAAGACTTTCCATCTCCTCTTGCATAGAAACCAACCACTTGGATGAGTTGGATTGCATAAAAATGGAACCACTTGCAAAAGAAGCTTTGAAGAGCCAAGTCACCCTCAAAGAGGTGGAAGATCTGGTAGATATCGTGGAAGAGGAAGAGGAGGATCTAGTGGAGGAGAGGATGACGTGGTAACAACAACCAAGGAAGAGGTGGAGGTAATACCAAACAAGGTAAATTTCCATTTCATTGCTACAATTGTGGAAAGTATGGGAACAAGACTGCAGATTGTTGGTATAATGAGAACAATCGTGGAAATCAAGCAAACATTGCTAAAAATTCTAGTGAGAGTTCTGAAACTTTACTTTTGGCCAGTGATAGTTTTTCTGCAGATAAGAACATATGGTTCTTGGATACTGGGTGTAGTAACCATATGTGTGGGAAGAAAGAATTGTTTTTCGAACTAGATGAATCAGTCTAGTCTGAAGTGACATTTGGCAATAAGTCAAAAGTGCCAATTTTGGGAAAAGGTAAAATCTCTATTCAGTTGAAAGATGGTACTCATAATTTTATTTCCGATATGTTCTATGTTCCTAAACTACATCAAAATCTGTTGAGTACGGGACACTTGTCAGAAAAAGGGGTATAAGATAAATATTATTCAGGGGTGTTGTATCATTGCAGATGCTAAGGGAGTTTTGATTGCAAAGGTAAATATATCCCAAAATCGACTATTTCATTTGACAATCAATCATGCACTTCTTGTTTGCTTTAAATCAGAAATTTGTGATGATAATTGGTTATGACATATGCAGTTTGAGCATTTCCATTTCACTGGATTTACTATCTTGCAAGAAAAGAACTTGTTTCTGATTTACCTATTGTGAATATCCCTGATCATATTTGTGAGATTTGTTTGATTGGGAAGAAGCCTAGAGATCCCTTCCCCATGGGCAAGTCAAGGAGAGCCACAAAACAGTTGGAGATTGTTCACTCAGACCTGTGTTCGTTGGACGTTCCCTCACATGGAAGTTGTAAGTACTTTGTTAGTTTCATTGATGATTTTAGTAGGAAAACATGGGTTTACTTTCTGAAGCAAAAGTCTGACGCATGTGATGTTTTCAAACAATTTAAGGCTTTTGTTGAAAAGTAGAGTGGTTATGAAATTAAAATCTTAAGAACTGATAGAGGTACAAAATATATTGCTTGTGATAATTTTCTAAAGAAAAGGGTATTCCGCACCAGATGACAGCTAGATACACTCCACAACAAAATGGAGTGGCTGAGAGAAATAATAGATCTATCATAGATATGGTAAGGTGCATGTTTAAATCTAAAAATTTGTCTAAACTTTTTTGGGTAGAAGCTGTTGCTTGTGTTGTCTATGTGTTAAATAGGTGTCTAACTAAGAGTGTCCGTGATAAGACACCTGAAGACGCTTGAAGTGGGAAAAAACCCTCTATAAGATATCTCAAGATTTTTGGATGTTTGGCATATGCAATGTGCCAGATCAATTGAAAAAGAAGTTGGATGATAAATGTGAGAAGTGTATATTCATTGGTTATAGTGATGCTTCAAATGCTTATAAACTATACAATCCTGAAACTAAAAAGGTTGTTATAAGCCGTGATGTCACTTTTGATGAATATGGTGCTTGAGATTGGTCAACTAAAGATGAAATGCCAGTTTTTATTCATGTTGTTGAGAATATTGTTGATGAGCAACCGATTCCAGATAATGTCTAGTTTCCTTCACAGCTAGAGCCATCAATTTGACGATCTCAACGCGAGCGCCACTTACTAGCTCGCCTACAGGATTATGTTTTGGGTCATGATAATGACATGTCTGATGAAGAGATTGTTCAATTTGCTGTTTTTGCAGATTGTGATCCTTTATCTTTTGAGGAGGCTGCTACAGAAACTCATTGGTTTAAGGCGATGGATGAGGAGATACATGCCATTGAAAAGAATGGTACCTGGGAGTTAACAGATTTACCTCCTGGAAAGAAGCCAATTGGAGTAAAGTGGGTTTACAAAACGGAATACAAGTCAAATGGAGAAATTGACAGTTTTAAGGCACGGTTGGTAGCAAAGGGTTACAAGCAGAAACTAGGTATTGATTATTTTGAGCTTTTTGCTCCAGTAAGTAAACTTGATACAGTTCGACTGGTTATTTCTCTTGCAGTTAAAAATGATTGGAAATTGCATCAAATGGATGTCAAATATGCTTTTTTAAATGGTTTTCTTGAAGAAGAAATATATGTTGAGCAACCTGCAGGGTTTGTGAAGAAAGGGGAGAAACATAAAGTGTACAGGTTGAGAAAAGCCTTATATGGCTTAAAGCAATCGCCTAGAGCATGGTATGGTTGTATTGATTCATATTTTGTTGAAAGTGGTTTTATGATATGTCCTCATGAACATACTTTATATGTCAAATGCATTGATTCTGGTGATATTGTTATAATCTGTCTATATGTTGATGATTTGATTTTTACTGGAAATAACTTGAAGCTAATATCAGAATTGAGGGATGCACTCATTAAGAGATTTGAAATGACTGATATGGGCCTTATGTGTTACTTTCTTGGCATTGAGGTTGTTCAAATGGATGGCGGGATCTTTATTTCACAAAAGAAATATGATGTTGATCTTTTGAAAAAGTTCAAAATGGAAAACTCCAAACCAGGCCAGTTTCAACTCCGGTAGCTGAAAAGTTAAAGGTGTCCAAAGATGAGTGTGGTAACCATGTGAATGTTACAACTTATAAAAGCTTAATTGAGAGTTTGAGGTATCTGTTGGCAACAAGGCCAAATATTTCTTTTGGGGTTAGAATACTTAGTAGATTCATGGAAGAACCAAAAGAATCATATTAGACTATAGCAAAACGAATTCTGAGATATGTCAAAGGTACGAGTAATGATGAAATTTTTTACTCTACTAATGAAACTGTGAAACATGTTGGTATACGGACAGTGATTGAGCTGGAGATATTAAGACCAGAAAAAGCACATTAGGATATGCCTTCTTGGTTTAGCCATATTTTCTTGGTCGTCAAAGATGCAACAGATTATAATACTTTCAACCGCAGAAGAAGAATATATTGCAGCAGCAAATTGTGCTACGGAAGCAGTTTGACTTAAGTGAAGCAATAAACATTTATTTCTATTCCTCTCTCTTCACAATTATATATATACATAGATAAATATATTACATTTAATATATCTTACAAAGAGTCCTATTAGGACGACTGATGATACATACCGTTTTCATTTAATCATCATACTCAACGGCTTATGCATACTAATAAATTTACATTTCAGGAGAATTTATGTTGAAGCCTTTTACTTTATAAACCACACTAATAATTTCAAATCACTAACAGTACTAACCGTACAGTTTCCACTCCATCGATCTTTTTAATTTCTTAATAGTTTGAAGTTTTTGCGTGTTTTTCGTAAGGGTTTATTTGAGCTTCAACGTTACGTTGAATCAACTCCTTCTGATCCTCATCACATTCCTTGGACAAACGTTCGTAGTCCTCCTCCGCCTTTCTGACGCACACCAAGTAGATTGAGAGCACTAAAATGGTGACGGCGTTTACGTACCAGCTGAACTGAATGTTCGCCAGAGACTTGGCACGCTCCATAGCTTCCACGGTGCGGCACCGCACGATGTGGTGGCCATCCTCGTTGTTAATGAAGCATCCCTTGGGGATCAACCCCGGCGTCCAAAGCAAAATCCCCATGGCAGCCATCCACCCACCTGTAAGGTTAAGGAGAAACTGTACGTCATATTCCATGAAGAAAGATTAGAGACTATAAATAGTATAAGCTTAACACCACCTTGTAGCATAATGCCGAAAGACCTGGCGAGGCTGGTTAAGAAGCTGCTGGGGAAAGGAATGCCCAAAATGGTGGCGGAAAAGGAAACGAAAATGGCTAACTGCAGCAGCCAATGGTACTGCCCTTCAACCCCCATGTGGTCCGTGGAGTGGAGGTGGAAGAGGAGAAGCTCCTGGCCGAAAGCAACCGCCCCGACGAAGTGCGTCAGCCCGTGCTTGGCCGGCGGCGATGCCCGGTCCAAAACCAAGGTGAAAACCGCGTAGAGGAGGATGGTGGCGGAGATGCCTGCGTGCTCCAAGTTGCGGAGATGGTTGAAGGGTATGGTGCCGTCGGGGTCAAATGGGGTGTGCCTTGCGGGTCCCACGAACAACTCCATGGAAATGGAGACCAAGGTGCCGGCCATGATCACGTAGAGCTCCAAGTACTTGATTCTTGGAGATGGGAACCATGGGAGAGAGAAGTAGGTTTTTGGGTGAGAAGCGTGGAGTTTGACTTGGTTTAGTAGGTGCCATAAGCCTATCAAGAAGAAACCTAAGCCAGGTAGCACATGCCCCATCAAATTACCCATTTACTTTCTTTCTTTCTTTATTTTTTTTTAGTCTTGTATTGTTTTTATATACTTCAAGGTGGCAACGGAAGATATGTATCTAGGGAGAGGGGATAATGATCGAAGAAGGAATGGAGAGATGGAAAGGAAGTAGGTTAGCTTATATATATAAGAAATTAAGCCAAGCTGGATAGATAGTTTGCATAAAGTTGAAAAGAAAGGGCAATGTATTGAGTAATAGAGATTAGTACAACAATTAAAGGTTAAGGTTTCCATCTTTGATTTTGGGTATAGAACAACCTTAAAGGTAAATGATATGGTGGATCAGGGTTTACCGTGTCCAATACACAGAATTTGACTTCATAATGCATAAAATTTATTTTTTATTTTTTGAAACCAAGAGCTTAAATTAAACAAACAAACCAAGAATAGAGTCAAGCGGTAAGCCCTCCCAAAACAACAGATCAGTACGGGAACCAACCGCTTTCGCAAGAGCATGGGCTGGTTGATTGGTTGTACGAGGAACAAAACGAAAGACACGAATTAAATGAACTACTCAAAACCTTACACGGATAAACAACTGAGGCAAAATAAGAAAGATCTATTGCACTCCTATTTAACACCTAAACCAAGTTGAGACAGTCCGATTCCATGCATACAACCCGCCATCCAAAACCTCTGACACACGAGAGTGTTTCTTTACAAGCCATGGCCTCCGGTAATAATGGATCCAGACCACAAGTCAAAGGGCCATTAGTAGTGGCTTCAAACCCACCCCCTTCCAAGAATGTGCATGCATCGAATTCATGTTTATTAATACGCATACACATAATTAAACACGATATAATGAACATGAATTATGTGCATTATTAGGAACATATGTATTAGGATTTTGATGATACCAATGTAACTTAGAAGTAGACCCCTAACTTTTTGTCTTTATTCTGTTACCTTCGTTCTAGACGAAAGGTACCATAACTCACCATGTAATTCATGTTAAGTTAGTCAAACACACGAAACCGAGTTATGATCTCTTAAGTTAGGTCTTGTCGAAAGAAAGAAGAGTTTATGAAGATGACCACGAAAGAACAAATGATTTTCTACAACCCAAAGCAGAAGCCGAAAGAAGCCTTCTAGTCTAGAGACTTTTTAATTAAAGATATGACTGTCAAGCCAATTCATCTTCTCTCAACTCAAGAAGAATGTTGTCAAATGTCTCATCTAAGGATCATCCTAGGAATAAGCTTTCTTAAGACTGAGAGCACAGTTATCAAGGTGCATTAAATACCATAGTACTACTTTTCAGAGCTAGAAGACAAAATAAGCAGGAGTGCTTCTCTTCAACGTCTACATAGTACATCTGCATTTAATGAAGCAATAAATACACAAGGCTCTCCGGTCTGTACCCACTGGTTCATAGGTTTGAAATGTGTCATCTCCCTCCAACGGATGGATTATTTCTCATCTATAAATACCCATCTTCTCCATGATAGAAGGTGCTGGTTTTTTATTACAATCGAATACTCATACTCAAAAGCTCCTTATACAAGTTCACTCTCTCAAGCTTTTGAAATTTAGTGATTCAAGGTGTGAAGTTTGCAAGTAGACGTATCTGATCTCATTCACTCAGTCTTGAAGAAGTCTTGCAATCTTGTATACATTGATCATCCATCAATTCACCAGCCAGTCAAGACTTCAGCAAGTTGGAGAACCTCGAAGATTATTTTTATCCAACCCTCAACTCTGAAGAAGAAGTTGATAGAGGCGGAGTAAACTCTAAGAGTTGAAAAACCTTCAAGTAGCTGTCCGGCTTAGTGATCAAGGAAGCTAACTTGGTGTAATTTGTACTAGGAGTGATAGTGCAAACCTTTCACAAGTTGTGAAAGAAGAGTGGAGTAGGCACAGTTGGCCGAACCACTATAAAAATCTCTTGTCTCTCTCTCTTTACTTTTCAGCCCGTTACTTTCGTGCATTGCATATCATACGTCCTTAACCGAGAGTATTCTTAAAAGAGCAAATAGTGCAAAGCAACTTAAAATCTATATATCATATCCGCTGCGTAATAACTCCGAAAGGAGTTATTTTCGAGAAAAATGAATTGAGTCTATTCACCCCCCCCCCCCCCCTCTAGACTCTCCTTTCGACCCTACCGTGATCAACACATTATAAACATGAATTTTGTATATTATGTTAAGTGTTTATGTGTCCTCAACTATATAATACACAGAATTAATGTTCATAATGCATAGAATTCATGTTCATTATATCGTGTTTATGTGTATATGTATTATGTACATGAATTCTGTGCATTATGAACATGAATTCTGTGCATTGAATCAGGGTCCATGCACTATGGACCCTGGTCTACGATATAACAATTGAGTTTTAAATCTTCAAGCCAGCTGTCCAACTCAAAAGAGGTTCTTACAATCCAATGAGGGAATTATAGTACACTGAATACACCAACAAAAAAAATAAAAAAAGATTCCTAGCTTATAGTACACTAGGTACCTCTAAGTTTAAGAGAGGTCGGGAGTTCAAACCCCCTCTCGTATAGTACACTGGGTACCTCTAACACTTTGTCCTTAATTGGACCACATTATATGCATCACACCAATGGCAAAATTTAATCCACATTAGACCTGGTCCGGCTGGTCGGATCGCATTGGCAAATTATTGTATGGATCACGGTTCAAAATGATATCGTTTTGATGTTTAAAAAAATTCCTTGCTCAGGGTGCGTGTTAGAATAATGAACATTCTGTGGTAAGATAATGTATTTTATGAGTTAGAATAATGTACTTTATGTGTTAGAATAATGTATTTTATGTGTTAGAATAATGAAATTTCTAGGGTAAGATAATGTATTTTATGAGTTAGAATAATGTACTTTACGTGTTAAATTAATGCATTTTATGAGTTAGAATAATGTACATTGTACTTTATGTGTTAGAATAATGAAATTTCTAGGATAAGATAATGTATTTTATGAGTTAGAACAATGTACTTTATGTGTTAAAATAATATATTTTATGAGTTAGAATAATGTACTTTACGTGTTAAATTAATGCATTTTATGAGTTAGAATAATGTACATTGTACTTTATGTGTTAGAATAATGAAATTTCTAGGATAAGATAATGTATTTTATGAGTTAGAACAATGTACTTTATGTGTTAAAATAATATATTTTATGAGTTAGAATAATGTACTTTATACTTTTGGACCATTGTCCAGACAACTGTATGGACCACGGCCCACATAATAATGATTCAATCGCATTAGTAATGCTACACTCACATTCTAAATTTACCTTTTAATATTCACCTTCTTATGTAACACCACTTATTGAATTTTTGTAATTTTTTTTTTTAAATTTTGGTTGTATTTGAGTAATAAATATGGAATACATTCATTTTTAATTAATCTATGGTAGAGTCCGTCAATTCATAAGCAGTTTATAAATATAAAGAATTTTTTTACACATTAAAAAAAAAAAGAATAAGGGTCAAATAGGTCATCAAACTGCACACAATAATACAATTAGGCCACTGAACTTAAAAATAATTAGATCCCTGAACTAACCATTTTTATGTAATTAGTCTAATTTGTAAGTTTTCTAGGTTGCTAGCAGGTCACATTTAATTTAAAATATTTTTTAAAATATTTATTATTTAAAATTAAAAATTAAAAATTAAAAAAAAAAAAAAAAAAAAAACAGATCGCGTCCGGCCATGGATTTGTCTCCATGGCCGGAGACGTCTTCATCTCTGGCCGGCCGGAGACGAAAAAGTTATCTTCGTCTCCATGGCCGAAGATGAAGAAGTTATCTTCGTGTCCATGGCCGGGGATGAAGAGTCTCTTCGTCTCCGGCCATAGAGATGAAGAGTTTCTTCGTCTCCGGTAATGGAGACGAAGATAACTTCTTCGTCTGAGGCCGGAGGCTAAGGTAACTTCTTCGTCTCCGGCCATGGATACGAATCCATGGCGGAGACGGTTTGTTTTCTTTTTCATTTTTAATAATAAATTTTTTTAAAAAAATATTTTAAATTAAAGGTGACCTGCTAGCCATCTATAAAACTTACAAATTAGACTAATTGCATGAAAATGGTTAGTTTAGAAATTTAATTGTAACTTTTTTTAGATTCAAAGGTCTAATTGTATTATATTGTGTGCAGTTTGATGGTCTATTTGACCCTTATTCCTAAAAAAAAAAATATTAGCAGGTTAGCATAAAGCTAGCGTGAAGCGTTTGGTCTAAAGTTGCGTGCAAGCTAACATATATGCACACAAAATCATAATTTTGCTTATCACAATCAGCTTAGTTGTTAGCTAGCTTAGTATATATAGATTTGTCCTTTGGGGCATGCATGAAAACTACTACAATAATGTGACATTCTTAGCATTTTCCTTTTCCCTTATCCATATATTATAAATTATATTATCAAGTTTCTTCTTGGAGGAAACGTTGAAAACAAGGATGTGCTACTTCCTTTGAAAACAGCCCATGTATATGTCTAAGCCCTAAAGAAACCTATTTAATTTGCAGCTACCTACAAGATACTACTAATTACAGTATCCATAGGTAGCCTTAGTTTTGGAAGACTACTAGACTAGCATATATATAATAATAAATAGAGTGACGTTACTAAATCTACCACTCAACTTTCACAAAGAAAAAAAAAAAAGTGTAGCAAAATAAGAATATGTATATATGTTTAGCAGTTTTTAGCTTTCGATTTTTAACTTCTTACTTTTTAAATAGGCATGCGAGATAAATATGTATAAAATATGTTAACTAAAACCCAAAATAACTAAAAGATGTATTATTTATTAAGGTTTCATTTCCGAATTAAGAAAATAATTTTTAGAAATCATTTTTTGAATTTTCATGTTTCGATATATATCAATGAAAAATAAAGTTAACAGAAAAATACTCATTTAGGTCAAATTAAAAATGACTCATTTTAACCAAAAAAAAAAAAAAAAAAAAAAGTCTTTTGAGATTTTTACTCAAGAAATTTTTTTAGATTCTTATCTCAAACTCTATTCTCTCTCTTCATTTGAGTGATTTCAAATGGAAGGGATAGTTCGTCATCCGTCTAGTTATTATTTAAATTGGATTGGACTAGTGCGGT